GCCTGCCCTGCAGCCGGCTGTGCTGTGCCCCCTCCACAGGCGACCTGGTGCAGGATGGGGTCACCCTCTACCTGCTGCAGTCGGTGGATCAGACGCTGCTCTCGGCCACCAAGGAGCGCATCGACTTCCTGCCCCACTACGACACGCTGGTGAAGAGCGGCATGTACGAGTACTACGCCAGCGAGGGGCAGAACCCCCTGCGTGAGTACCCCCCACCTCCTGCCCGGGGCTGCTGTGGGCACTGCCCCCTCGGGCACAGCTCCTGGGAGAACGGCCTGAGCTGGAAAGGGAGATTGGCGCGGGCCTTGTGCGGCTTTTTCTTCTGAAACTGTAGGGTCCGGATTCAGAGGTCCCTCTTCAGATTCCTCTTTAAGAAGCCTGCACGCTCTAGAAGTGACTTTAGTCCTGGCAGTGACCTTGCAGGTGTCACCCGCACAGGTCGGCGTCTGTGCCGTCGGGATTGTCCCTGTGCTTGCAGACACTGCTTGAATTTGGTGAACATTTTTCTACCACACAATTTGGTTTCCTCTCCCATCCGTGCTCCCACAGGGCTTCACTTACCAATGAGAGCAAGCATCTCGTTAAAAGGTGCTGCTTCACTTTTTATCTAACTGGTATATTAAATATGTAACCAGCTTTTTATGTTGTTTTACTAAAAATAATAATTGTTCTTTATGGCGTCTCCAAAAGAAACTGTGAGCAGTTTGAGTATGTGCATCTTAGGTGCAGCAGGCACAAAACTACAGAAAAAAAATGCAAACACCCAGACTCAGGCATCACAGTGTTGCCATAGCAAGTCCTGTTTCAAAACAGTCTCAACAATGTCCACAAATAGCAGCTGTATTTTTAAGTACCTGAAAGTTTCCTTTTGCCTCCTGCCTCTTTCTGCACGTCATTTGTTCCACATCCTAACTTAAGGGGCTCCAGATGTTGGTGTTTAGAAACACCAGACTGATGTGGGTGCTTTGGCTGCTGGTTTCTGCTGTGCTGCCACATATCTGACAGAACTTTGGGTGCAGTTGCCATTCACAAAGTTCTTTGACCATTTTTACCATTTTCTTTCTGTTCTGTTCTTTTTGTAAACAAATAACTTTCTATTTTGGAGGCTGCTCAACTCTTCTATTCAGTTTTTTTCAGTGGGTTCATTCTTCCCTCAATATTTTAACAAGTCCAAGTCAGTACTTTTACATACTTTGGACTTTTCTATGAAGGATACAAATTCATTCCTAATCATGGAAAAATTGGTTGTGTGGTAAGGAACCTGTTAGTTCATTGCCACCCCTCCAATAATTGTGTTCTTACCATCAGCAGAGACAGGAGAGATCCAGTGATGAAACAAGTCATGAAGTACAAGTACAAAAGCTTTTCTTTTTTTTTAATTCAAGGTGTTCTATAATTTTGATGATTCTGACAGTGCTTAGCTCTTTTCTGTGTTTATCCCAATTGCTCAGAAGAAACTACTGTGTGTCTGTTCTCTGAGTGCTGTCTTTTGAGAAGATTTTAATAGGGTTACTTTTCTTCAATTTCTGTAGCATTTGCCCTTGCTGAGTTGATTGACAATTCTCTGTCAGCTACATCCCGAAATACTGGCATTCGGAGCATACAGATAAAACTGGTAAGATAGAAATATTCTGCTGCTTTTCAGGTGTGTTTTGCATTATGCTTTTTTGGTTTTTTCCTGGTGCTGATTTGGTTTTGTTCTGTTTCCCCCCAAACAGCTGTTTGATGACTCCCATGGAAAACCAGCTGTTGCAGTGATCGATAATGGAAGAGGAATGACTTCCAAACAGCTGAACAACTGGGCTGTGTATAGACTGTCAAAGTTTACAAGGCAAGGTGACTTTGAGAGGTTAGAAAGTTTTAATCATTTTTGCAACGACTGGCAAGCTCTGTGAAGGATCACAGAATACCATTTTAAGACAGTTCTTTCTCTACACCAACACTTAGCCAAAGCCTGTCCTTCTGTGCTTACATAAGGACAGGAACTTTTTGTGGGTGGCAAATAGAAGCCTCATAACACCAAACTGCTCTTCTCAAACTGTGCTCAGTAGTTGCTTGGCATTATTTCCTACTTTTCACTCAAAAGTGCTTCCATGAAAGGCTGGTGTCAGGAGGACCTTGCTTGCTGTGCAAGGCGTTTTCCTCTGGAGCAGCCTCACAGCTGGAGTCTTGCTGTGGGCAGAGGGAGAGCATTGAGGGCTTTGCCTTTCACCTGCTGCTGTTGCACAGACCTGCTGGCCATGTCCCTGCTGCAGAGACAACAACAGAGAAAAGGTTTCAGTTATAGTTTCTTTTTCTGTCTGATTCCCCTTGCCAAATATTTTCCTCTCTTTCATTTGAACTTCAGCATAAGAAAATTGTACCTAGATAGTAATAAAGAGTTACTCAGATGAAGAAGGTGAACTTGTGTGTCTGAATAAGACTTGCTTTGCTAGGAGGGACAGAAACATAACTTAGGAAAAGAGTTAATCTGTCATCATCCTTTTAAAAACAATACATCAAAAATTTCAGGCACATCCGTTTTAATGTGGCTGTTGTGATAGGTCTAAAGTGAAGGCTTTTAAACAAAGTGGCTGCAGGAAGAATTTAATACAGGCTGTTTAGAGGAGGCTTTTCGTTTTTTTAAATGACCTTTGACTTGAGAAATTCATGGAAGGCACTTTTACCCTCAGTGACCACTCAGGATATGTGCGCCCCTTGCCAGTGCCCCGTAGCTTAAACAGTGACATCTCCTACTTTGGAGTTGGAGGCAAACAAGCTGTGTTCTTCGTTGGACAGTCTGCCAGAGTGAGTAAATGCCAGTCTTTTTTACATAATAACATTATAATTATCCTTGCTTTTAGTCACAGCACTAAACTATTATTTTATGTTCATTTTAAATCTTATTTTGACTTCAAATACCGTTTCTTTAATAAAATCAGATGATAAGCAAACCTGCAGAGTCTCAGGATGTTCATGAACTTGTCCTTTCCAAAGAGGATTTTGAAAAGAAGGAGAAGAACAAGGAAGCAATCTACAGTGGCTACATTCGAAACAGAAAGGTAAACAGCCTTGAACTCACTCAGCTTTTGACTGGAAGCCTTTCCCAGGTTGACATGATTTCACTGTGTAATATTCCTGTAACACTTACCTGGGCTTATCTTTGTCTTATCCAGTCATCTCCACCCTGGAGTGTAAAGGGAGTTCATGGGAAGTGTGAAGAGGCTGTATCATAAGGCTTTATTTGTGCCAGATTGTTTTTTCTCTTTTCAGTTCAGCTTAAAGGACAGAATGCCATAGACTCTGACTTAGCAGTTTAAGAAAAACTTTCAAAAATACATTTCTAAAACAGCAATTGTTTTGCTATGTATGAAACAGAGAGAAATACCCATTCTCTGAAGTAGTAAGGAATAAATTAGGGAAACAAACAGCTTCTGTGGAAGTGTGTGGAAGTAACTGTGCTGGAGGAGTGTCCAGCCACATCAGCAGAGTGATGGGAGAGCTCATCACAGAGCCATTAAATGTGGTTTGAGGTGTTTCTGGGCTGAACCACGCTTCAGAAGCTGTGATGGAAGTCAGCTGGAAGTGAACTGGATCAGGGATGTCAGGTTCTCAGCTTATTGACTTGAGATTGGAAGTTTTTATTTAAAGTGTTACTCCTTTGTGACACTTGGCATCATGTGTCCTGTGTTCTTTTCCTGATCTGTTTTTTTTAATCCTTTTCAACAGTAGTTCAGAAATTGAGTTTACATTCC